AAAAAATTGTCCTTCTTTGATTGTCCCCTTGTTTTCACCACTTATATTCAGTCTGTTCTTCCTCATTGTATCTCATTGACTCCTCACTTTGTTTGTGCTGCCCAGGTCCCTAATTGAGGCCTTTATTATTCTTCTTATCATTGTTGTCTTTTAAAAAATTTTTTTTCTCAAAGCTATTTTCCATGTTCTCACTGAAGTATTTTTTCCTACTACAAATCTAATGCGGTTATTCCTCCTCTTTCCTAACATAAGCCCATTCTAGACAAAATGTTTGACTCTTACTCCTCTGTGCTTTTCCCTGTGATTTTTCCTGGCAAATTCTTACTCACATGTGGTAGTCACTAGTACTATTCCATCAATATTCTGATGGTTTTCCTTTGGCACTTCTTTTTCTTCTGATCATCCCTTCCCTTGAAATCAGCTCGTTTCTCAGTTTTGGCACTACTGATACTGGGGCTGACCAATTTGTTTGCTTTGAGGACCGTTCTGTGTATTGTAGAATATTTACTAGTGGCCTTGGCCTTTACCAGATGCCCAGTAGTACTCTGTCTTTTACTTCCTGCTTTCACTTGCGAACATCAAAAATAGCGAGACATTGCCAAATGTTCCCTGAGGGAGTAAGTTGCTTCTGGTTGAGAATTATCAGTATGGCCACATGACTCTAACCAGTTAAATACGAGCATAAGTAAAAGACAGTGCCTGAGTTGTCTTATCCTTTCTCCTGCTATTTAATGACATAGAGATACAGCTTCCATCAACCTAATCACTAAAAGATGGCAGTGAACATTGTCACCAGTTGACCTGTGTTGAACAGATAGCTTAAGTGGAAAATAAACCTTTGTTTTAAACTGTTATATTTTGGGGTTGTTTGTAACTCCCACATAGCCTATTCTGTCCCAACTAATACATTATGCCAAAGCTTAGCATAGCTATGAACTTTCTGTGCTCCCTCATTTGTCCCAAATCACATTCATAACCTACCTTTTAAAGCATTTATTAGTTACAGTATTACTTAATATGATATGTTTGAATTTTTTAGATTTGTATTTTTTCTTTCTCTTTTTGGTGCTAGGGATTGACCCCAGTTCTTCACACATGTTATGTTTACAGCTGGGTTATTCACAGCTCCTGGATAAGTAGTCTTTTGGAGTTTTTTTTTTTTTTTTAATTTTTTGAGCTGGGGGTCTTGCTATGTTGCCCAGGCGATCCTCCCACTTTAGCTTCATAGTTGATGGTGTACACCATTACATCTAGCCAGGATCAGTAATTCTTAATGGAGTGAGAACTGCTTTTTAAGCGGTGTTGTGGAAATTTGAGAGAGGAGACTGAGGGATGTGAGGACCATCCCTAAGAGAGAGACAGTGAAGAATCAGTTATCCTGAGAGAGACAGTGAAGAATTAGCTATCCCACAAGACTTTAAAATGCCCCAGACATTCATGTGTGAGAAAAAGGTATAATTAGAACCTATTTCCATTTTAATATAAATGCAGTTTTCTAGGAATTAAATTTCTCTCAGTTTCTTAATCAAAGCTGTTTTGTTTGGAGCTTTATCAAGAACTCACTATTTGGGAAACCATATTGTCAACATGCTATTTGAGTTGCCAAGTAACACACTTGTCTTAGAAGGTCAGAATTTGTAACTCATTTATGATTCTACATTCATGTGTGAACATCTTAACTTTGTTTTGTTTTGTTTTTTTGTACTGGGGAATGACTTCCCTCTACCACTTTATCTTACAGTTAGGACTTTGTTAAATTACATGTTAAAAAATGGAAAGTTTGTCTGATAGAATTGAGTACCACTTTCTGATTTTATGCCTACTTGTTTTTGTGTCTATAGTGGTTTTTTTTTTTTTTTATGGTACTAAGGAGTTGAATTCAGGGCCTCATGCTTACAAAGCAGATGATCTACTGCTTGCACCACACTTCTAGTCCATTTTGTTGTGGTTATTTTGGAGATGGGGTCTTATGAACTATTTGCCTGGGCTCTCCTCAAAACAAACCTCCCAATCTCAGCCTCCCAAATTGTTAGGATTACAGATGTGACCCACCATTCCCAGCCTCTGTAGAGCTTTAACTGATAACAATGTTGAATTAATCAATTTAAGGCTCGCAAATTGCTTTTATGTACGCTGTTGTGTATTTGATTACTACAGTAAGTCTGTAAAGTTGACAGGGCAGGTATTATCCCCATTTTATAGATGAGACAATTGAGAGAAATGTTAATGTGGCCATTTATGCTGTTAGAACTTTAATTGGAACATATTTATACCAACATCATGCCCATATCTACCTGCCATATTTCCATAATTCAGAGCAATTACAGGAATATAGGAATACATTTGTATATCCCTGCTGGTATTAATATAAGGAGCTTTTAAATTATGTTTCAGGCACTTGTGGTCATAGGAAAATAAGAAAGGCATTGAGAGAAAGCTGTTCTTAAGAAAGCAAAGTCATTATCATTTGCATTCAGAGAAATGTGCAATTAATGTAACCTTTTCAATATCATTAGGTCCCCAAATAGCATAAGTTTTAGAAATGATGACATTTGATGGTGAGGTTGTAGAAAAATAGTTAACACTCAAATATTTTAATTACATTATAAAATGGTACAAATCTTTTGGAATACAATTCCATAAAATGAGTCCAACAAAAGTATTTATATTCTTATTAAATTTATTGTAAGAAAATCCCACAGAATAAAAATGATATAGTCACCAGGTGCCCGTGGCTCACGCCTGTAATCCTAGCTACTCAGGAGCCAGAGATCAGGAGGATTGCAGTTCGAAGCCAGCCCAGGCAGATAGTTCACAATATCCTATCTCAAAATACCCTTCACAAAAAATAGGGCTGGTGGAATGGCTCAAGGTGAAGGCCCTGAGTTCATGCCCCAGTATCGTAAAAGAAAAAAAAAAAAAGAGTGATACAGTCGGTCAGCCAGCAGTTGTCTCATACACATCAGAAGCTCTGCATGGTGCTGGGAAGGAATTTCTAAGACAAGAGGTGTTGCTGTTTTTGAATGCCTAGATCTGTGAGACAAGTATATAGTCAAATAACTATAATGTAATGTACTAACCTATAGTGGGGATGTGTCTTGAGTTCGAGGAAGGAGGGGTCAAGAAACAACAAGGAGCACAATGAATAAACACACTGAGGAAGTAATTCTCTGGGATTGAGAGAAGAGGAAACAACATGTTAGGGGAGAAATTAAAACATTTAAGCTGTACTTGGAAGAATGACTAGGATTTTACTAAGTGGATAAAAAGGGAGCTGAATATTTTAGGCAAAAGAAATAGCATGAACAAACATCTGAAAGTACCTACAGAAATGCACTCATGGACGACATGGAAGACTCACTGTCCTAGGAATTGGGCCCTCAATGGTGAAGACAAGTATAGGCCTTGTCTACCTACTAGAGTTTGCAGTCTAGAAATTAAAATTATTGTGAATTTGACATTGAAAGTTACCAAACTGATTTTCTTGAGTGAGATTTAAAGATATATTTTTTTGGGGGGGGGTACTGGACTTCCAGCATACTAGATAAGTGCTCTACATGAACTGCATCCCACTCTTAAAACGTGTGTGTGTGTGTGTGTGTGTAAGAGAGAGAAGAAAGAGAGAAAGGGAAGGAAGGGGAAGGGGAAACAGATTCTTGCTAAATTGCCCAGTCTGGCCTTGAATTTGGGGGTCCTCTTGCTCTAGCCTTTCGAGTAGCTAGGATTATAGTCTTGCGGCTGTATGTAATCTAGACTTATGCTGATTAAAAATGTTTTGTTTGGCATGCACAGATTTCTTTTGCTTCCTCTTCCTTCATCATTTTCTCCTTGAGTAAATCACCAGTACTTAAAAGTGAGATTTCATATACCCCTGGGCATTTTTTAGTTTCTCTTTTAAGTTGATGATCTAGCACCAGTGGGCTAGCATTCTCAAATGCCACTTTTGGAAGTCAGTAGTGGCTGTCCACTTGAGATGGGCATATACTTGTATTTCTCACCACTTTTCTTTACACCTGGCACATCTTACTCATTTATAAAGTTTGCCTGCCTCCTGTGTGCCTTGAGTTGTGAGTCCATCAGTGGCTTACTTCTGTCACTGCCTTCCCACATTTTCTTTGACAAATTTTAGTAAAAGAAAACAGAGGGAAGTATATAATGTATTTTAGGATAATACCATTTAAACCAATTAAAATAAAACATTTTAATATTCAAACAATAGATACTTTCTACTGAATACTATGTGTTGTATACTTTATACAAATTTTCTCCTTTGAACTCTCCTTTTACTTCAGATTCAGAGAGTTTAAGTAACTATTTGTCCCACTGCTTAGTGTGAAAACTAGGATCCTACCAGATCTCTGACTCCAACGTCCTCCCCCCAACCAAGGAATCCTTAATTATCTAGAAAGTGTACCTTTAACATGTATTTATCGAGTATGGGGAAGTGATAAGTATTTCAAGACATGAAAAAGTTGCTTCTCTTTTTGAGGTTTTAATAAATTGAGGAGACAGGCATTTGTTTAAGAGATAAGGAAAGCAAGTGTTAAACACCAAATAATTGATACTAATTCTAGTATTAATTCTAATTCATTCTACTTATCAAATAATTGATAATTAATTCTATCAGTGATTGATTCTAATAAATCACTGATAGTTAACACACCTATAGTAAAAAACAAACACAGGCCTAACCTATAAAACAAAATGTTAACCGCCCAAAACTGTTAGACTGATAGAAATGACTAAGTAAAAATTTAACTTTAGAGTGAATAGTACAGTTGATAAGACTTCATTGAATATGCTTCTTTAGTAATAAGAAGGCTTAAATTAATGTTTTTGGAAAATGTTGAAAATAACATTTAATTAAGTCATTTCAAACTCGGTTTTTAATTATGTTCATTGACTTTGATTTAACTAAAATAGTTTGTCTTTTCTCAAATAATTGAATATCTTGTGAAATGTATACTCATACCCGTGTCTCTTATTATTTTTTTTTTTAGATTATCCTGAACACCAGATGTCTAACAGTTTTTCTTGCAACATTAGCTGTTTTTCACTGTCTCTAGAAGATCAGAAGTGCTCCAGAAATTGGAGGCTTATTTGATTTAAAAGAAAAAACTTGAACTAATGGACAATATGTCTATTACGAATACACCAACAAGCAATGATGCCTGTTTGAGCATTGTACACAGCTTGATGTGCCATAGACAAGGTGGAGAAAGTGAAACATTTGCGAAAAGAGCAATCGAAAGTTTGGTAAAGAAGCTGAAGGAGAAGAAAGATGAATTGGATTCATTAATAACAGCTATAACTACAAATGGAGCTCATCCTAGTAAATGTGTTACCATACAGAGAACATTGGATGGAAGGCTTCAGGTTAGTTGAGTTTTCCTTTTGTCATGGCAGATGTAAAAACATTCCAAGTTGCCACAGAATAATTTAATGTGAGCTCCGTCTCTTTGCATACTGTTACTAGTGTGCATTTTGGGAATATACAGAAGAATATACAAAAGATGTATCTTAAGTGTTTTAATGTTCTGACTTAAAAATAGTTCATTACAGAAAATGTGGAGAATAAAATGAAGAAACTCCTGCTTTGGTCTTTCCTATGACCAGACCCCATTCTGAAGCAATGTAGGGTTGCCAGCTTCCAGTCAACTCATTAGCCTAGAAAACAAGCCACCACCTTGAAGAGTTCAAGATTGTAGGAGTTGGATGCCAGGAAAGGGGGATAAAACCAAATGTGTATTTTACAATATCATAAATCCTGACTTTGTAAGATTTTGAGGATTAAATGAGAACATATAAAGTCCCTTGTAATGTCTAGCATATAATTGATGCTTAATAAACAGTTGTTTATTTTCCCAGGTGGCTGGTCGGAAAGGATTTCCTCATGTGATCTATGCTCGCCTGTGGAGGTGGCCTGATCTTCACAAAAATGAACTAAAGCATGTTAAATATTGTCAGTATGCATTTGACTTAAAATGTGACAGTGTCTGTGTGAATCCATATCACTATGAACGAGTTGTTTCACCTGGAATTGGTAAGTACACTGTTTATCTTCAGACACATAAAGAAAAAAGACATCCATAGTGTTTTATCTGTTCTCAGTTAAAATTTGTATTTGAGGATTATTCAGGACTTCTAATAAGGTTAAAGAATCAGACATTTCTGATGAAATATAAATACTTAAATCTGAACTTGGGAACAACCTTGAATTTTGACTGCTAGAACTTAAGTATATATAATTGATATCTTGTCCATTTAGCACATTGTTTTTGGAAAATAAGATAGGAAGCATTATAAACTTGAATACTTAATTTACATATTGCTAGACAGCATTTCTGGTACTTCTGAATTGAAATGGTTCATGAAGTTTTGTAATGTCTGGTTTAAATTTATGTTATATAATTTAAAATATTATGGAAGATATTTTCATGATAATGATTAATGTTTCATTTTTTTCCCTTTAAAATGTAAAGATCTCTCAGGATTAACACTGCAGAGTAATGGTAGGTAATCTGTTTCTTGACACTTCTCTATTATCTTTTGTCTTAAAACTCTTTTTAGGTTCACATATAAGTAGTTTGTGCATGTACCAAAATCATTAACAAAGAAAAAAAAAAAACTCTTTTGGAACTTAGATTTTTGGAGGGTTTGCATCAGTATTTTTTTTTTTTTTTATTATTCATATGTGCATACAAGGCTTGGGTCATTTCTCCCCCCTGCCCCCACGCCCTCCCTTACCACCCACTCCGCCCCCTCTCTCTCCCCTCCACCCCATCAATACCCAGCAGAAACTATTTTGCCCTTATTTCTAATTTTGTTGTAGAGAGAGTATAAGCAATAATAGGAAGGAACAAGGGTTTTTGCTGTTTGAGATAAGGATAGCTATAGTGTAAGATTCCTCTTCTTGCTTTCCTGTACATAAGTGTTACTTTCTAAATTAATTTTTCTCGAACTGACCTTTTCTCTATTTCCTGATCCCCTTCTCCTATTGGCCTCTGTCACCTTAAAGTCTCTGCATTAGTTTCTCTGCATTGAGGGCAACAAATGGTATCTTGTTTTTTGGGTGTCTTACCTATCCTTATACCTCCCTTGTGTGCTCTCAGTTTATCATGTGATCAAAGTCCAGTCCCCTTGTTGTATTTGCCCTTGATCTAAAGTCCACATATGAGGGAGAACATGGTTTTTGGTCTTTTGGGCCAGGCTGACCTCACTCAGAATGATGTTCTCCAATTCCATCCATTTACCAGCGAATGATAACATTTCGTTCTTCTTCATGGCTGCATAAAATTCCATTGTGTATAGATACCACATTTTCTTAATCCATTCGTCGGTGGTGGGGCATCTTAGCTGTTTCCATAACTTGGCTATTGTGAATAGTGCCGCAATAAACATGGGTGTGCAGGTGCCTCTGGAGTAACGTGTGTCACAGTCTTTTGGGTATATCCTCAAGAGTGGTATTGCTGGATCAAATGGTAGATCAATGTCTAGCTTTTTAAGTAGCCTCCAAATTTTTTTCCAGAGTGGTTGTACTAGTTTACATTCCCACCAACAGTGTAAGAGGGTTCCTTTTTCCCTGCATCCTTGCCAACACCTGTTATTGGTGGTGTTGCTGATGGTGACTATTCTAACAGGGGTGAGGTGGAATCTTAGTGTGGTTTTAATTTGCATTTCCTTTATTGCTAGAGATGGTGAGCATTTTTTCATGTGTTTTTTGGCCATTTGAATTTCTTCTTTTGAGAAAGTTCTATTTAGTTCACTTGCCCATTTCTTTATTGGTTCATTAGTTTTGGGAGAATTTAGTTTTTTAAGTTCCCGATATATTCTGGTTATCAGTCCTTTGTCTGATGTGTAGCTGGCAAATATTTTCTCCCACTCTGTGGGTGTTCTCTTCAGTTTAGAGACCATTTCTTTTGATGAACAGAAGCTTTTTAGTTTTATGAGGTCCCATTTATCTATGCTATCTCTTAGTTGCTGTGCTGCTGGGTTTCGTTGAAAAAGTTCTTTCTTATACCTACTAACTCCAGAATATTTCCTACTCTTTCCTGTATCAACTTTAGAGTTTGTGGTCTGATATTAAGATCCTTGATCCATTTTGAGTTAATCTTGGTATAGGGTGATATACATGGATCTAGTTTCAGTTTTTTGCAGACTGCTAACCAGTTTTCCCAGCAGTTTTTGTTGAAGAGGCTGCTATTTCTCCATCGTATATTTTTAGCTCCTTTGTCAAAGACAAGTTGGTTATAGTTGTTTGGCTTCATATCTGGGTCCTCTATTCTGTTCCACTGGTCTTCATGTCTGTTTTTGTGCCAGTACCATGCTGTTTTTATTGTTATTGCTTTGTAATACAGTTTGAAGTCAGGTATCGTGATACCTCCAGCATTGTTCTTTTGACTGAGTATTTGCATCAGTATTTTGAAACTTGTTTTAAATTGGCTATTGGCTCTTTAGATTTATCTGCCATTTATGATGAACTAAAGTGTTTTTAAAATATGATAGAAGAATGCACCAAAAACATTAGTGTAGTGTTCAACTCATTTTCTCTTAATTGGTGAAAAACTAGTTCTTTTGGAAGAAAGTCTTGTAGGGCCAGTTTAAATGGGTATCGGTGCCCATTTAATAATTTGAAATTGCATATAACATATCCTTAAAAAATATCAGTATTCTAGTTTTTTTCTCACTTCACCCTAAATTTTATGGATGATAATGGTGAGAATGGTTTGAAGCTTATATGTATTAGTAGTTTTAAATGTCATTACATTTCAAGTAAATAAAAAAAGGCTATTTTAAAGTATATGCCTAACCCAACCTATTTTAAGAAAGAAAAAATGTTTAGAGTTGAGAAAATGAAATCCAGTTCGAGTATGTGCTTTTGTTTTTAGTGAAATATGTGAGAATGGCATTCTATTAAATCTTTAGTTGTATTACGTAGAACTTGTTAATGGACTAAGATCTCCATAAGAACTAATTAATTTGTAGAGAAGCTCTACTTAAGAATCTCTGTCATCTTAGAAAGGTGTGCTTCTATCCTGGAGGCAGATTAGTAGCTTGGCACTTATTTCATTGCAGACAATTAGAGGAGGGTCAAATATATGCACCTTAAACCATAAGGAAGACCATGCAAGCATATTTGTTTCTCTCATATCACTAATAACAGAAGAAGACTCTAGTGCCATGTGGCACAACATTCTTAATGGTGTACAAATTTCTGACAGGTGTGTATTGGTAATGGGAGCTGTGGTGGTCTGGGAATGGTGGCTTTAAGATTGCTTAAAGCCCTGCCTCTTTGCCATGCAGACAGCATGTCATGTCACTCCTTTTCTTTGAAAGTAAACACGCTTTAGGTCTTCACTATTCTCTACTCATATTTTTGGAGAACTAAAGCATTTAGCTCAGTGGTAATTGGGGATTAAGAGACTGCAATGGTCATCTCAGGATTTCCTTACGAAGATGGTTGTAAAGGGGTACAAATTCTGAAGACTTCTCACACTCCTCTATACTAAAATTATTCCTGTGCTGGGTATTTGTTGTTGCTGAGTATCAGTTGATAGTCTCTCTTTAGTGATGATTAGGCTGTATTTAGCCTGTGGACCCCCCTAGTTGTGGTTATGTAAAGGTAATCTTGAGTAACTTATTTTCTCAGAAAACAGGTACTTCTCATATCTCCTCCTAGATTTGAACAAAGAAATAATACAAGGCCAAGTCACTAAGAAAATTAAGAACAGTCTTTCACTTGTGAGTTGGCATTTTGTGGTTATCATTTCCAGCCTGTCTCATCTCTTTTATGAAGCAAATATTTAATGAGCATGTATTGTTTGGTACTGTGTTAGATTCCAAGGACATTAAGAAAAATACAGCTTGTTTTCTCTACTCAAGAGTTCATAGTCTGGTTGAGGAAGGAAAAAGTAAATGAGTGAGTGACAATACTATCAGACAAGTGCTGTGGCCTGCCTGCTGGTAGTGATAAAGAACCCAGACCTAGGGTAAGAACCCAGTGCTGTCAGCTTTTTTTGTCAACTGTAGAGAGTATGTTCTTTACCCCTCACAGAAGATTTTACATTCTTTATGTATGTGTGATTATTCTGAAAATATGGTTAAATAATAATAGCTATCACTTGCTGAGTACTCCTGCTATGTCAGGTACTGAGGTAAATGCTGTATGAACTACATGATAGGTGGGATTATCCATACCTTTCCAGATGAAAGGACGGGTGCCTGGAGGGATCTAGGAACTTGCGTAATATGAGACAGCTAGGAGGAGTTGGAATAATATATAGTTGCTATTAGATATTTAAACAACAGAAAAATATTATAAAAGAATTAAGCTCCATGAACTCAGGGATATTTGTTTTGTTTATTGATATATCCCACATACGAGCACCTGGAATATAGGTGCTCAATAAATATTTTTTCAATGAATGAATTTGTTGAATGTTATCCCATAACCAGAGGTATTTTACAGTTTGGTATCTGTTTTCCTGGACTTTAAAAAATATATACTATATATTTTTTATTTTATTTTTTTGAATAGGCAATACATGGTCCATAAATCAAAATACTATAAAAAGGTATACAGTGAAAAGAAGTGCTCCCACCCCTGCCCCCATTCCCCCCTACCTCAGGTAATCATTTTTATTAGTTTCTGGTGGTTTCTTCCAGGGTTTCTTTATGCAAAAAATAAATTTATTATTTCCCTCTTTTCTTACACAAAAAGCATACTATGACACTGTTCTGGGCCTTGATTTTTCTTTTTTAAACTTACATGATTTTTAAAAACATGCATATGACCATAGTGTACAATAGTGTTTTGTAACTTGCTCTGTTTTCTCTTGCAAAAATATGTTGCATACTTCTATCCTTGTTGATACCTTCAGTTTTACCTGAGAAACAAACATTTTAGGTTACTTGATTTAAAAGATCCATAGATGAGTGGAGTTTCCAAACTTACATTTGGGAAGGTTTAGCCAACGTTCTAAGAGAAAAAAAAATTATTAGACTTAACTGTTCAAGGTATAAAACAATTGGTACTTCAAAATGTCTATGATTTCCTATTAAATCTTTTCAGAGTCAATTAGTGGAAGCCATGCGTACCAGTTACACCCTGAAATTCAATCGTTTTTTCCTTGTGTTCTTGTAATACTGATACATGGGTTAACAGATTTCAGTTAGTATAACAAGAAAAACCCTAATATGTCCACGAATTAAATAGAGATGTCAGGATCTATATGAAGAAAATTGTAGAACTTTGTTGAGCAATACAATGAAAGACTGAATCAAAGTGTAGAAATAACCACTTTATATTTGGAACTTCTTTTTTTCTGTTCTTATAATTTGTCCAACATTAATGATGAATAGTTAAGTCCCACGACTTTTTACTGATATATAATGACGTCTTAAGCATCCTTTTAATTATGTTTTATTTCCATAGGATTTTTCAAAGAGACACTTTGGAATGTAATTTATGGGTTTTCAAAAAATACCATCTTCATGGCTTTCACCGTATGAAAATGTTTTTTAAGAGGTTGTACATAGACACTTTAGCAATGGATTATTCTTTACTGCTTTGAAGTAGTCTCAGTTTAGTTAAAAAAAAGCCATGTAACTAACAGAAATTTATATGTAATAGATTTTTTTCAAGATAAGGGAAATGACATACTAGTTCTTAATGGGAAGGAGAATGTCTTTGTTGTTGACTCTTAGTTGACTGCTCCAAGAAGAGACCCTAATATTAGGATTCAGTGGATTGTAAAATTCTGGTATAGTGGTAGCTCAAAAAGAATAGAGGATTGTTTTGCTAAAGATAAAGCTAAAGACCAAAACAATAGCCTCAAAACAAAAGGGAGAATTTTGGCAGAAAATTGACATTATGAATACAGTTCAGTTTTCTTTCTTTCTTTTTCTTTTTTTTTTTTTTTTTGTGGTACTGGAGTTTGAACTCTGGGACTCACCCAGTTTTCTTTTAATACAACAAAAACAAATTGTTTCCGGATTTGCTAATAGAAAAGTATTATATTTTAACAGCTAGAATTTAGCTTTGTTTATTAAGCTGTAACCACGTCAGTGAAAGATGTTGATTATTGAGGTTTTTCATACCATGTTTCTCATCCTTACTTGGATTGGTTTTCTAGGAGGAAATTTTAGTTTGACTTCTATTTTTTATTTTATTTTATTAATTTATTTTTGAGACAGGGACTCACTATGTAGCTCAGGCTGGCCTCAAACTCATGATCCTCCTACCTTAGCCTTCCGAGTGCTGAAATTACAGGCATGTACCACTGTACCCAGCTCCAGTTTGGTTTTTGTTTGGTTCTAAACCTACAGGAGACATTCAGTATACTCAGTTTCAAAGACTACGTAACTTTAGATCCTGGAATTGGATAGCTGTCAGCTTCCATTCACATCTCTATTGTGAAGTTCAAAAGGACAACTAAGTATTCAATTTGAATTTGGACTGAAGTGTAAGTGGTCTTCTCAGCTGAATAAACATTTTGTTACACAAGGCATTTGGTTTTCACCTACCTCATGTTGTGTGCTTAGATGATTATTACTTATAGGATTATCAAAAAACCGAGGAATACCTCTTTAGGTGTTCCATTGCTTGAGGCTTGGAATACAGTGTAGCTTCAAATTTCAATCACATTGAAAACATATATATGATGCTTCTACCTCTAAATAAGTAGCTTTTATTGATAAAAGAGTGTGCTTTTAAAATAATATGAAAAAATTCTGTATTAGAATTATTTATACTGTAGTTGATAGGTGTTGTCATTATGTGCATGATTTTTTTTCTGGGAATAGAAGCTTATAAAAATGTAAAATATGTTTAATGTTTTGCATAGCTCCACCAAGTATGTTGGTAAAAGATGAATATGTTCATGACTTTGAGGGACAGCCATCATTGCCCACTGAAGGACATTCAATTCAAACCATCCAGCATCCACCAAGCAATCGTGGGTCGACGGAGACATACAGCACCCCAGCTCTGTTAGCCCCATCTGAGTCCAACGCTACCAGCACCACCAACTTTCCCAACATTCCTGTGGCTTCCGCAAGTGAGTTACACAATCAGATGGAGTCAGCAGATTGACTTGTCCTAACCATTGGATTATTTATGTGTAGTCTCCTAGAGGAAAACTGCATGCAAGTAAAAATTGAAAAGTGCTGTAGTGTCTTTCAGATTTTTTTTCTGTGCTGAGTATTGAATCCAGGGCCTGGTGCATGCTGTGCAAGCTCTCTACCGTCCCCCCAGCCCCTTGGTAAATGAACATTGAATAGGTGTTTGTTTTGGTCCTGGATAAAAAGGTGTTAGTAATTTAAAGATTATTATATTGATGTGCAGTCACTTGGAACTTAATGACTTTGATATTAATACTGATTTAAATTTATGATCTAATTTGCAGATTTTATTTTTTTATTGTTTTGCACTACTGAGGCTTGAATTCAGGGTCTGCACCTTGAGCTACTCCACCAGCCCTTTTTTGTGATGGGTATTTTGGAGATAGGGTCTCACGAACTATTTGCCCAGTCTGGCTTCAAATTGATCCTCTTGATCTCTGCCTCCTGAGTAGCTACGATTATAGGTGTGAGCCACTGGTGCCTGGCTTAATTTGTAGATTTTAGAAAAATACTTAAGTAGGTCTTTTTTGTGTATCTGTTTTGTTTTGTTTTTGATGATACTGGGATTGAATACTAGGCCTTACTAGGCAAGTGCTCTACCAGTTGAGCCATGCTCACACCAATAAGTAGTGTTGAACCAAGATAAAGATCTCTGTTAATGGAATTGCAACCTTTCTTTTAGTTCAGTGTTCTTATTTTGCTTATTCTAAGAGAATATTACTCTTAGTGCGCACCTCAGTTTCCCATTGTGAAAACTCAGAAAAAATGAATTTTGACAAACTCATTTATAACATGCATCTTCCTAGATAGATGTTAAATATTTTAGCTAAGTTCAATATAAACTAAGTTCTATGGCTTTCTCTTTCTCTCTTTAAAACGCTTTTTTCTTTTAATAAATCTGTTTCAAAAAAGTTCTTCCCATTGGTAGAGATGTTACCTTTTCTGTCACTATTTGGTTTAGCTTTTCTTTCTTTTTCTTTTAGTGGTTGCAATTGAACCCTGGGCCACATCAATGCTGGGCAAGCACTTCACCATTGAGTTACATCCCCAGCCTAGGTTCATCTTTCCTAAGGGTCTAATTAAGACCATATAATCTGGCTGGGTCTGTTAATAGTCAGCAAAGATTGAAGGATTTACTGCTTATTTTAATTTTTATTTAAATGAATCATGGAACATTACTATGTATACGGTGTTAATTGTACTTGGTTGCTAAGGGAATTGTATGTAATAGAGCTGAGTTGATACTTTGTTAGTTGTTACCAAATGGATATTGGATCTGATTCAACATTGAAATTTTGATCTTTGGAATAAATGGGAGATTGATTTCTAAAATTTTTGGTATGAATGAAATGTGTCTAAGTTTGTCTTGGTATTTTTGGGTTAGAGTTCAGTAATTGGAGAGTAAATACTATAGATTTTGGAGCTTGTGGCAAAATGTTCCCTTAAATTCAAAAGGTAAATTGATAGAATTAAAAGCTAGAAAAGAAATTAGAATAAAATAGAATAGGAAGGCTGTTTTATATCAGCTGTTTTGCTGTTGTTTAACTTTATTTTATACACTTGGAATTACATGATGTAAATATTCTGTACTGATAATTGCAGTGGACCACTTTATAATTTATATTCATTTTGGTACCGGAATATATTCAGGATTTCTTTCTGTATCTATAAATTAAAATTTAATTTCTCCACTGTAGTGACAATTTTTATAAATTAGCTAAGAGTACTTAGCATGTACAAGTATTGAAAATGAGCAAAAACTGTAATTAACCTTTAAAGATAACTTTGAGAATTGTTGGGGATGAGTAGGAAGAAACATTGCTAAAAACATCCTATTTTAAAAATAAGTAGTTTGGAGGATAGTGAAATACTCTCTTTTAGTTTTTGATTTTACAATTCTTACCTTTTAAGAAACGTGGTATGCAGAGAGAAGAAAAACGTTCATTTTTCTTGATACTCTGAGTTGTGGTGACATTTATTCTCTTCCACCTGGTTACACTCTCATTCAGATGAAAAAACAAATGTGATGCCAGTGACAAAAAACAACTATGAAATTTCAGTGCTTTCCAAATGGGATAACAATATCATAGAATGGTTTTGAGTAGAATAAAATCAGAGGAAACTTAGTCATCTTGGTGTATTACATAGAGAGCAACTAACTTCATATAAATCTGAGCATATAGTGGTGCTGTGGAAAAGACCTGATTCTCAGTTTTATTTGTTTTTTTTTTTTTTTTTAAAGCACATGAGCTGGGTACAGTAGCTTACGCTCGTAGTCTCAGCTACTTGGGAGGTGGGGTGGAGATCAGAAGGATTAAAAAGGTTCAGGGCCAGCCTGGGCAAAAAGAAAAAGGTAGATCCCATTATCTCAACCAGTAAAGTGGGTATGGTGGTTCACTCCTGTCATCCCAGCTACTCGGAAAGCTAAAATAGGAGGAACATGGTTCAGGGTGGCCCCTGCAAAAACATCAGACCCTATCTTGTCCAAAAAATAACTATAGTAAAAAGGGTTGGAGGCATGGTTCAAGCGGTAGAACGCGTGCTTAGCAGGCAGGAGCCCCTGAGTCCAAACTCCAGTACTGTCCCACCCGAAAGTAGATGATTAAAAATACAATAAATTAATTTTTTAAAAGTGCATGGAAAAAATTTGAAAACAGGCTGTTTTTTTTCTTTTTTAAAGCAAATGCCATATTGATTGGGACAGTGGCGCTGTGACTTTAACTTCACCACCTTCCCCATCATATTCCATTGAAAATATTTTCCTGCTCTGCATTTCTTTTGTCAAATGCTAGCATTCTGTCATTATCAGTACCAGTGATGATGATAATAATTAACTTTAGCGTTTTCATCATTTTCTTGAGCCTGGGTTTTGGAGGTCCAAATCAAAGCCTAGAGAGAAATGGGTGAAGTGACCAGGGGGTGAGATGATGTACTGAAGTTATTATGGTAGACAGACACATAGTGGGATTTTGTTGACATTTGAATATTTGTGAACAAATAAACCACTAAAGTTAGGTAAACATTACTTCAGATGGAATAATTTCAAACAGCTTCTTAAGGCTTGTCTTAACAGATGTCTTTAGTTTTTTATTTGATAGGCAATGGATGAGTTCTACTTTTGGCTCATCTTTATTGTTGTAGATTATCAGATATAATTGGTCCTTCATTTATTGCATAAAATCACAGGATTATATTATTCATGTTCCATGTTAATGTCTTGTTTCTCTAGGTCAGTCTGCCAGTATTTTGACAAGCAACCATAGTGAAGGACTGTTGCAGCAGATAGCTTCAGGGCCTCAGCCAGGACAGCAGCAGAATGGATTTACTGGTCAGCCAGCTACTTACCATCATAGTATGTACATGCTTTTTAAAGTTTTTTAAGTAGTTGAGAAAAAAATAGGCAGCCTTTATAAAAACAGATTAATCCATGTGGGCCTTAATTTTTAGACAGCACTACCACCTGGACTGGAAGTAGGACTGCACCATACACACCTAATTTGCCTCACCATCAAAACGGCCATCTCCAGCACCACCCGCCTATGCCGCCCCATCCCGGACATTACTGTAAGCTCTTGTTTTTGTTGTAAGGGCCTTTTCTTTTGTAGAACTTTGATTTCTATTTTTTAAAATGTTTTTGCATCTTTTATTCATCTTACAATTTAGTTTCATTAAATAGTGCTTTTTTACTATTTTTCAGTATTTTTGATAAACAGTCTTATTTATTTTTATGGTTATCATACCTTTGTTTTAGAGTAACGTTTACTAAATACATCTGTTTCTCTGTTGCTGATGTCTCATTAACACCACATTGATTTCCATTCATTTATTTGCTTTGTATGTTTTTAGATCTCATGTGTATCTTGTCTATCCTTCCATAGTAGACTAAAGCCCCTTAAGTACTGTAGCTCAATGTTTCCCTCACCATAGTATTCAGTGCCATGAACACTCAGATGTTGAATCTGTTAGTACTCTGTGTAGGCATGATTGTGAGGGATATCCTGCAAATAGCTTGCAGTTTAAGGCAGAATAGGAACATTGTTCATTTGGTTTAATGAAACCCAGAGTATAAATCATATATGTAAAGTCCCATTTCCTCTAATTTTAAGACTAGTAGAACAATAACAATAACAAGAAAAAACTTGGGAAGTACCAAAAAGCATAAATAAAAAAATTAAAATTATCCAGAGTCCTACAACCTAGATATAACCACTTACTAAATTTTGTTATTTTTCCTTCCAGTCATATAAATGGATATTTATATAAAAGTTGGGGGGGGTTCATGTTATATGTAAATTGTTATATATTGCTTTTTATCAATTATGCTACTATTTTTCCATGTCTTTGGAGGATGTAATTTTTAATGGTTGCCTGGAGTAGCATAGTGGTTCAGGGTGCTTGGCTGTGTGGTCACTGGCAACTTACTTAACTTCAGTAAGCTTTATGCACAGTAGTGGTATCCATCTCCAGGAGTGCTGTAAGAAGTGAATGTGATAATTCATGTGAGGTTTTTTAACACTTAATAACCTTTCAGTTATGTTGGCTACTATCTATTATATAAATATCCTTAATTTAATAAACATAAGCAATTGTTTTTAGTATAGTCCTAACAACTTAAATTACTATTATTCGTTGCATTAGAAATTACACTATTACATGCTATATGAATAATTCATTATAATTTGCAGTAAATATTGCATGTAAGATGATTTGTTAATTGCTTAATAGCACTTGACAGATGACACTGAAATGTTAGCTATTAAATATCCACAAAAGTAATTCAGATGTTACTTAACAGTAATCTAAACTAAGCTTTTAAGTTCTTAGACATTGCATAAGTTTAATCTAAATAGTTATATTTAAGGTTTATTAAAAGTTTTAGCACTGGAAAACTTTTAATAAATAAAAATGGAGTTTTTATTGTTTTTTTCTTTAGGGCCAGTTCACAATGAGCTTGCATTCCAGCCTCCCATTTCCAATCATCCTGGTAAGTGTGTTTCAAAATTGATTCCCTATATTTAGATTTTCATTATAGGAATCAAACACATACTCAGGTTTTAATGTAAACATTAATAGGGCAACTTGGCTTCTCAGACAAGTGTTACATACATTATGACATGAGTTAATCAGCAGTTTAAGAGTAGCTGATAAAGTCATATATAATCTGCCTATATTTGATTCATTGTAAATATTTCTGAAAGAAAAGACAAGAACTGGGTTTTAAACTAAAATATAAAGTACAGAAATGCTAGATTCAGCATTGAATACATAAATATGTGCAGAATAAAACTAGGTTTCAAAATAGAACTGCTACAAAAGTGTAGCTTAAAAATTAGGGAAGAATCTTAAACAGACTCTGAGAAGAAAAATAATTCACTATATCTGTTGTACTTGGGAGTCTCTGGTTAGCTGGAATTTAGAAACTATTTGGATAAATTTTATTCAGAAGAGTAAATAGCTAAGTAGCCTTCTTCAATTAAAAGTTTATATGTAATTTTTAAATTATAAAATATTGAAACAAAAAGTCTGAAAATAAAACAAGAAAATACCAAAGGTCCTGTATAATACAAACAACAGGATAGTTGTTTTTCTTAGCTTAAAAAGATGTATATATAGTTATCTCTGAATCTGTAGGGCATTGTTTCTAGGATGACCTTCAGTTACCAAATTCTGCAAATGTTCCAAGTCTTATGCACAAAGGTCAGAGAGGGTCCTTCTGAGGAGATCTGGTGCATTCAGGGCGGTATGGTTGTAGACTGAGGGGCCTTCTGGAACCAGTCCCCTGTGGATACTGAAGGACAGCTGTGTATGTTTCTAATAAAGATTTTTTAAAAAAACATAGCCACAGTAACCATAATAATTAAAAAGTAACTTATAGTTCCAAGTAGTTGTACATAATTTTCTTTGTGTAAATAGTGTTCTATTATTACTTAAGCTGATTCCAATTTTCTGCTAGCTCTTTAAAAATAATTGAAAGGAAGATATTTGCATTTATAACTTTTCTCATATTTCAGTTTATGAGATTAACAACTTCTGAATCCGAAAGCCAAATTGCTTTACCATGATAGCATTAGGAATATTGCAACTAGTTTTAGCATGCTCACCAGCAGGAGATGTAATTGTTTAATCAACTTTTTGCTGATTTAGGAGGCAAATAGCACTTGTCGTGGTTAGGAGCAAAGTACTGCTGGTAGGACAGAAACACTTTTTATTTAAACCCTGCATATTTACTGGTTCATTTATCCTCTTTAATAGATTTTCTGTATGTGTCTTATGTATTTGTTGCAATTTTTAATGTTCTTTTGTGATTCAAAGGGTCTTGCCTTTTCATAAACATGTAATATGCAGAAAACACATACAAGTATATAATTTAATGGATAACACTAAAGCCAACATCTGTGTGACTGCCAGCCAGATTTAGAATGAGAACATTACAGTACTACAGAAACCCTCTTATCATGCATTTTTAACTCAGTCAAAACTCTTTCCTTCCCATAAGTAACTACTGTCCTGCTTTTTTTTTTTTTTTTTAAACAAATAGCACTTTTTTGTTCTTTTAAATACTTCCCCAAATAGTCTTAGTTTAGTAGTTTGGTTTTACTTGCTTTGGAAATTGTGTAAGTGGAATTATTGTATCAGGATCTTAATTTGTGTATATGAATAAATAAGTTTTGGTCAGGGGAAAATGTAGAGTCAAGAGAATTAGAATTCTGCTGGCATTGAGGTAGTATCCGTAAGTGTCAGTACTGGCTTCTGGAACCTTAGAGGACTCAGTGTTTCATATAGCTTAGTGGGGGATGGTCTACAGGATTGTGGGTAGTCAGGATGCTGAAGAAAGACCTACCCTGGATGGAGTAGTGCAGTGGCAGTAGAGGTAGCTGCATTTCACTAGTCATCTGAGTTTGATTTTTAAACTCAGCAGCTACCTTTGCCTCTTATTCTTCTCGCAGTAGAACTGATAGTTAGGCAGAAGAGCCACTGGCATTTAGGGGTAGCACTGACTAGATAAGGATATGCATCTGTAACAGTCTGCATTGCATTGACACCTTTGTCTTTCAGTAGAATAAGTGGCAAGGTGATCTTGTACAGGTCTCTGTCGAGCTGGTTCCAGGAGGGAATTAACTTTGCATATACACTTTTATGAAGTTAGTAGGTTAGAACTCAGATGGTCTTTGGTTGCAGATACTAATGGGCCCTTGAGGAGTTTCAACTCATAACTATTCTTCATTTCTCTCTTGTACTGTTACTAAGAATAATTAAACTGGTCACTGTTAGGAGTGCATCCATCCTGGTACCCTCCTCCTCACCAATTATTCTCTATTGCTACTCAGTAATTCTTTTAAAATTTGAATTTGATTGTATTATTCCTGTGTTAAGAACTTGTTTTTAATTCCTCTACTCATTTGTTGACTATAAGATAAAGTCCAAATTCCTTAGCTAGGCAGAAGAGAGTCTCTGGTCCTCGCATACTTCTCTAGCCTCATCTATTTAGACTTTAACCCTCTTGTACTGTTTACCTAAGCTTCTTAGGTATATCATCCCCTCTGCCTTTTTTCATATATGCTGTTCTTTCCCTTATGTATCTTATACTCTACATGTTGCTAGGCATCTGTGAATGGCTTAGTTGATTAGTTCTGAGGTCTCATGGATTACAGTGAAGTTCTTAGTTGGGACTGCCATCGTTCACATTCAGTGTGGTTTACCAACATACCTGGAAAGTTAGTTTTCTTGGCAGGAAACTCCAGTTTTTTCTCAACATGGACTTCTCTGTAGAGCTGCTTGACTGTTTTTACAACGTGCTAGCTGTTGAGTGATCAGGAGAAAAGGCAGAATCTCAGTGTCTTTTAAGACTCAGCCTCAAAAGTCATACCATAATTTCTGTGTCATATGGAAAGGGTTACTCAAGGGTGTGAATAGCATGAGACAAGAGTCAGTGGGGGCTGTCTTGAATATTAACTACTATGTACCCCTACTCCCCCCTCCACATGTGGCTTAAGTATACACTGTTGGTAAAGCCTTCTAAGTTCTTTCTTCTCTTGTACCTAGTCCTTATTTGATGAACAAATAGAAAAGATAGCAAAGTTACTTTTTTATGTATGAGATACCTGGGATTGAATTCAGGGCCTTGCACTTGTTATGCAAGTGCTCTACCCTATTTGAGCAATGCCTCCTCACCCCCTCCCCGCCAGTCCCAAAGTTACATACTTTTAGAAAAGGTTAATCATTCTATTTCTTTTTCACAGCCTTTATTTTTGCTTTTTCTTTAAGTTGAGATATGTTAATCAAATTAAACATTGATTGCAAATTTAAGTGAAAGTTTTTTCAGGTCTTCAAGGTTGTGTTCAGATTCACAAATAGATTAGAAGGTGTGTTTTGGTATTTTGGAGCATTTCCCCATCATTCAAGAAAGTACCTTTATGTGTTCATAGAAGATTTTTACAAAGCATTTATTCAGATCTGAGTAAAAGGAATAATTCATAATGAACCTCATGTGTATTTACCCAGATTTTTAACTTTTTCTTGAATCACTATTTGTATTTCACAAATTAAAGATAATGCCTTGAAGAGCTACATCTAACATTATAATTGAACATTTCTTAAAACTATCCTTCATAATCCATTTTTTTGTTATGAAAAATATTTAGCTAAGTTCTTATATTGTAAAGGAAAAAAATTCATATCATTAACTTGGTCTTTTAAAACTTTTTTTCCTGGCCAGTGATGAATAAATAGCACATAGGCTTCATGAGTCTGTCTTTAATTTAGTAGCAAAAATTAAAAATATCAAAGTCAGCTCATAATAGTCCTACTCCATTTCACCTGACTTGGGGGCATGGAGAAAGCCTTCTCTGAACTGAGTAATTCAGCCTGCTGTTTACACTAGTCTTGAGTGCTGCAGGGTTGTCATTTATATGACATTTAGTCCTTAGGACAAAATATTTAAGAGATACCCAGAAAGGTATAATGAGTGTTTCTTGTTTTTAAAATAAGAATGTTCCCTTCTGACTATTCAGCAAATCAAGAGTCGAGGAGAAAAGCTTTTCATTAGTATTTTGTGGCCCGACATCATCAAATTCTCAAATTTCTGGGGCCCACTGAGATTACCTATAGCCCTCTGTTGTCACAAATAGCAACCTGTTTTCCTAGGCCTCATTTTTCATCACTCGTATGTGTTGTAACTCTAGTGCCAATTTCTTTTTATTCTTCAGTCACTTAAAGCTCTTCTTCTCAATATTAGCAGGTCAACTCATATTAAACCTCTTCAGAGATGCAGCTTTATATATCCACCATTGTCATGTGGTGTCTGAAGTGTTAGGCACGCAGAATCCTTTAGTGATGGGAAATAAAAATTGAAATACATTTGCAGATGTTGCAATTGATAGTGATAAAAGTGTATTTTTCTTACTTAAACATGGAGACTATGAACCCCAACCCTCATCCCCTGCCCTCAACTTAACTCTCACAAAACATTGGACAGGATGCATCTTGTCTATAACATAATGTGATATCGTCAATAAAAAAAATTTACTATAGAACCTAACTTCATAAATACTCCAAAACTAGCTTTTTAAGAAGACGTGTAAAGCTGGGCGCTGGGGGCTTGTGCCTGAAATCCTAGCTACTTGGGAGGCTGAGATTAGGAGGATCGTGGTCTTAGGCCAGCTTGGGCAAATAGTTCACAAAACCACATCTCCAAAATAAAAGCAGACTGGACTGGAGGTATGGCTCTAGCAGTAGAGTGCCTGCTTTGTAAGCACAACATCCTGAGTTCAAATCCCAGTTCCACCAAAATTCAAACCAAACCAAAACAATAGCAACAACAACAAAAAAACAGAAGACGCTATCAAGTGTTATCACTAGTTTTTATGTCTAAACACACTCAAATATATTTAAGGAAATGCTTATATTTGTGATGTGTGGATTTAGTTGATATGGCAAAACTTTGAAAAACACTGCTTTTTGAGTCACCCTATGTATGTATGTATTTATTTATTTATGGTGCTGGGGCTTGAACTCAGGGCCTTGCATTTCCTAGGTAGGTGCTTTACCACTTGAGCCATGCCCCCAGTCCTTTTTGCTTTTTTCAGATGGCTTGTGCTTTTACATCCAGGTCAGCCCTGGACCGAAATCGTATTACCTATGGTTCCTGTGTAGCTAGGATGACAGGCATGTACCACTGTGCCTGGCTTGTTTGTTGAGATGGGGTCTTGCTAACTTTTTACTCAGGTTGACTTTGAGCTACGATTCTCCTTTGTTTTTTGCTTTGTTTCAAGAGAAGGGTCTTGTTATATAGCCTAGATTGACCTGGAACTTGGTATATAACCTAGGCTGGCCTCAAACTTGAGATCATCCTGCCTTAGCCTCCTGAGCACTGGGATTACAGGTATGCACTACCATTCCCAGCAGTCACCCAACCTTCCTGTAGTTCGTTTTATTAACTCTTCATTAGAAAGCACTCTTGCTTGATAGCATTTGAAAAGAAATCGGGTAACTAGCCCTTATAAATTTTTTTAAAACTCCTTTTAAGTATTTAAGTATTCATCACACTTCATTTTAAAATTTTCTCAGGGAGCTTTAAATGACTTCTTTGCAGGGGGAGGCGGGCGGAGGGGAGTCACCCTAAGTGTCTTTTCAGATTGTTGAAAGTTTTGTTGCTTCAGATTCAAAATTCATAAAAACACATTGAGATAGAGATGAATCAACTACATGAGACAGTACCATTCTCCCTTTCATTCTCTAATAAATAGCTCTTGCCTTTTACATTTTTCTTACTCTGGGGCCTTTCTTTTTTTCTTTTTGCAGTACTGGGGCTTGAACTCAGGGCCTTCACCTTGAGCCACTTCACCTTTTTGTGATGGGTATTTTTGAGATAGGGTTTCATGAACTATTTGCCTGGGGCTGGCTTTGAACCACTGATCTCTGCCTCCTGGGTAGCTAGGATTACAGGCGTGAGCCACCGACACCTGGCTCTGGGGTCTTTCTGAAATGTTTTTTTCACAGCCTTCACATAGATATAAGACTTTAGGTCTTGCCTTTTCAGAATGGATGACCCCTCCATCCAGGCTGAAGTATTCTCCAAGTTACCTTCTGTCTCATAGTGGTTCTCTCCCCATGTAGATCATGACCTGAGTTACCTTATTTTTTTCTCATTTGCCCCTGTACCTCCCTGAGACCTTTATTTTGGCAGTGCTGGCATTTGAACTCAGAGCCTCACGCTTGGTAGGCAGGTACTCTACCATTTAAACCACTCTACCAGCCCCTGTACCTCCTTGAGAATTTATAACTTCTGTTTACTGCTGTGCATACACTACCTATATAATTGTTATATGCTCTGTAAATATCTGATAAATTAAAAAAGGAAAACCATATACTTTATATGGGCTCAATGTAATAATTGTATTCAAACAAAGTCAGAAATACTTGGTCAGCTGTCTTTATAATCTAAACTTAGTATTGCCTGCTGTTTTTCTGTCATTTAAAATTATTGTAAATCATGTTATTCAAGTTAATATATTAAATACATCTTTAAAGTTAAAATTGTGATCGTTAACTTAAATTGACTTCACTAAAAATACCCTGCTGTGTATGGAATGTGTATGCAGATGGGACAGGTGATCTTTCACCCATGAGACAATCAAGACTCCTTTGTACTGTAACTCTGTACAGGACTCAGGACTGTGATAGCTGACTTGCTTATGCATATTCTCGCAGTCAGGGATCTGTAAAAATAGAGCATGGATTGATGTTATTCAAGAACTCTTCCCTGGAATATGTCTCAGAGTCTCTGTACTTTGAGAAAAATTAGAGTTCAGACAACATAGAAAATATGTGCAGTCAAACGAAATGTGGTAAAAGAATTCGCTTTAGATTCCAATTGTGTGTGTTCTTTGAATTCTCAGTTGACTTGGCCCTTTGAGTTAAGAACCAAAATGACTTTAGAGTTTCGAGAACAGTAATAGGTGCTGAGCAAGAAAATAGAAGACAAGGAATTTCTACTTTAAATGGTTATTTTAATCAAGGTCTTTTGTGCTTAATTTCTCTTTCCCTCTTCTTCACCTTTTCTTTTTGGAAGAGCTTTGTTTTATGGAGTGAAAGTGAAGGCTTAATATCTTTCTCTGTCACACGAGTGGGTTCTTTCTCATTTATTTCCTATAGCTCCTGAGTATTGGTGTTCCATTGCTTACTTTGAAATGGATGTTCAGGTAGGAGAGACGTTTAAGGTTCCTTCCAGCTGCCCTATTGTAACTGTTGATGGATACGTGGATCCTTCTGGAGGAGATCGCTTTTGCTTGGGTCAACTCTCCAATGTCCACAGGACAGAAGCCATTGAGAGAGCAAGGTACTGATTGTATAGTTAGTTATTTTTAAAAATTTTTTTCAAGATTATTGTTTTTTATTCTAGATTATTGTTTTTTCATGTATGAGTTTTTAAATATAAAGAAATAAAGATCACCTTGAAAACTGAGTACTTGTAAACATTCCCCTTTAATTGTAGATGTTCGTTTAATATATAATGATAAAAGACAGTGAGATTTCTGTGTTCTGAATAGCAACTGTGATTTATATCTGTGCTCAACTCAGTAGCCATTAGCCACCTGTGGTTTTTGAGCACTTAAACTTTGGCTCATATGACTAAGTAACTGAATTTTTAATTTAACTTATATATGTGGCTATTGGTTTGAACAGTATAGTTTATAATTCTTCATTGCAAAAAAGAGAAGTTATAGTACTTACCTCACTGGGTTGTTAGGGTGAAAAAGATTTCATGTTAAGTGCTCCTGACACATAGTAAATGGTGTGTGTATATAAATATATATAAATACATATAAATTTAACAGTGGCTATCTTTTAGTTATGATATGTCCTTTTAAAATTCTTATTTTTGAATATTGAGTAGATAGTGTTATCTGTAATATCTAAACTTTATTTGTAAATACTTCAGATGAAATGTAATTAGTTCTGTTTTTCCTTTCTAAGGTTGCATATAGGCAAAGGTGTGCAGTTGGAATGTAAAGGTGAAGGTGACGTTTGGGTCAGGTGCCTTAGCGACCATGCAGTCTTTGTACAGAGTTATTACTTAGACAGAGAAGCTGGGCGTGCACCTGGAGATGCTGTTCATAAGATCTATCCAAGTGCATATATAAAGGTTGGTTGCAATTTCACTTGAATATTTTAAGTGTATAAACCTTCTGTTTACTGCTTAAAAAATTGAAGTGAAGATGAGAAGAACAGAAAACATGCTAATATGTAATAAAAAATTGTGCTTGAATGTAAAATACATTTTCTGGGGGGGGCATTTATTGACATGACTGGTTATCTAGTTTTTTGGTTGCTTTTGTGCCCTAGTGTTTTATTAATAGGTTTGTTAAATGGTTTAGAGTAATACATAGATTTGAAAATACTAAATGAAACCTCCAAACTTATATTCCTTTGACATGAAATTGGTAAAAATCATACTCCAGAGTTTCATCTTAGCCAATGTTTAGGATTTTATGGAAGGCAGTGCTAAAGTTAATAGTTCTTCAAATTAAGACCCTGAGAAGCCTAAGGTATTTTTCACTTTATTACATATTACCCATTTCAGTTTACTTTATAGTATACACTGTTTTTTGGAAGAGAAAAATGGATATAATTAGCCTAAATGTATTTTTAATCTTAGATTTTTCAGTCATCCTGAACATCTTCATTTCCAACTATTATACATTATTAGAATTACCACCTATTTCTAAGAAGTTGCTTAAGATACAAATAATATAGCCAAAGGTATAAAAACTTGGAAGTGCTTGATTGTCATTTTCAGTTACTATTCAGTGAAAGGATATATGTATTTTTTAATGTGAAACTTTCAAATATACCAGGTATAGAGAAAATAACCATTCCCATGTACCCATCATCCAACTTTGGAATTACTAGGATCTTACCAGTCTTCAATTTGTTTTTCCCCATAATTTTTTTTTGTGGAGTAATTTAAAACCAGTCCAGCATAATACAGTTTGCTCATGAAATACTCCAGTATGAATTTTTAATCCATAAAGAATAATTCCCTGTTAATTTTTTTTCCTAAATTTTTTTTTACATTTTTTTACTAGTATATATTAGTTGTACAGGGGGGTTTCATCTCTGTTGTATACTGGCTTTTGAATCTTTTTGGGTATATACCCAAGGAATATACCTAAGGAATGGTATAGCAGGATCGCATGGAAATTCCATTTTTAGTTTCTTAAGGAACCTCCATATTGATTTCCACAGTGACTGGACTAATTTACATTACCACCAACAATGTATAAGAGTTCCTTTTTCTCCACATCCTTGCCAGCATTTGTTGTTTATTTTCTTGATGATTGCCAGTCCTTTGGAGTGTGATGGAATCTCAGTGTAGTTTTGATTGCATTTCTCTGAAGGCTAAGGGTGTAGAGCATTTCTTCATAAATTTATTGCCCATTTGTACTTTTGAGAATTGTCTGTTAATTCACTTGCCCATCTGTTGATTAGATTATTGTTTTAGTGCTTAATTTTTTTGTTTATTATAGAGAAAAGTTGATTCTCAAACAACAAATAGACTATGATTACATTTTTGCTAAATGTCAGATATATTTGTTAGTGTAGAATGGTTTAGAAAATGTCTTACCTGGAATTATTTCTGGGAGGTGGGAATTATATGTATTTTCCAATTTTTCTCCAAGGAACTTTTATATTTGGTTAGTTGTACTTTTTTTTTTTTTTTTTTTTGGTGGTACTGGGTTTAACTCATGGCTTTGTGCTTTTGTGCTTACTAGGTAGGTGCTTTGCCACTTGAATCACACAGGTGTGCACCATCATGCTCTACTTTTTTCCATTGAGATGGAGTCTCATAAACTCTTGCTCAGGCTGGCCTGGAACATCGATCCTCCCTCCAGATCTCAGCCTCCTAAGTACGAGGATTACAGGCATGAGCCACTAGCACGTGACTTGTTACTATTATTCTTCATTGGAATTGGATTTCTTTATATGCTTTGTAGTCTGTTTTGTATATGTTGGCAGGTTCAGTTTGAAAGTTTTCAAGTTTGGTGTAGTTCTATTTATCTATTATATCATTGATTGCTTTGCTTTTGGTTTCCTATATAAGAAATGATTGCCTAATCCAAGGTCATGAATGAAAAATTCAGCTCATAATTATCAGGCCATAAAAGTAAAGGTTTATTTCTGGACAATCATAAGTAAAGGTTTATTTCTCGACTATCATTTCTGTTCCATTGATCTGTATGTATGCCTATTCTTCTGCCAGAAGTATTGTGTCTTGATTACTATACCTTTCTTTTGAGATTGTTTTGGTTATTCCTAGTCCCTTGTATGCGTTTTATGATTTGCTTGAAAAGGACATCTATTTTTAATAGTTTTCTATTCTTTATATGTGTTTGAAGCAGAGAGAAGTTAATATGTATACTTAATAGAAATCTTCTTTAGAAGTCTCTGGATAACTTGTATAATTTGAAGTAAATGGGCAAGGAGCATCTCATTTTGTCATGTTAACAGTCTAATATATAAAAAGAATCATTTCTTTTTACCAACTTTATTACTGTTCTTTTGAAGAATCTCACTAGCCAGAAAGGGACAGAAGTAAGTATACCTGAAATTGAATCATTGACATTTTCTTCAATTTGTTAAATTTTTTTTTGTCAGCAGTTACTTAAAGATATGTAAGTTACTATTGCCAGATAGATTCTCATCAGGGATGGTATTACTGAGGTAAATTGTATGCAAACAATGTCAGTCCCTAGAAAAAGTACCCACACATTGAGACTCTCCCTCTCCCTGTCCCTGTTCCTCTCCCTGTCCTTCTCCCTCCCTCTCTCCCTTCCCTCCTTTCTTGTCTTCATCTCTCCCTCTCTAGCTCCCTCTCTGTGTCTGTCTCTCTCTTTTTCTCCTTAATTAAAATGAGGAAAACATAAATTTAGAGAGCTGTAATTTTACTTTACAAGCTAAAAAGCTAGAAATAATTTTTTGTCTTAGCTTATTTTTTTCTCCTCATATAGTCATCTTAACATTTATAAAAATCTGATGTAATGAAATGGCATCTTATAAACTAAATGAAGCAAATATTTAAGTTCTCTTTAGGTGGCCTTACTCTTTTAGGTTCAGAAGTAAGGTCTGTTTTGTGTTGTCTTAGTACTGGGAATTCTTGTTTTCAACAGCTTTATGAGCCATGAGATAGAATTCATATGCCATACAGATTGCTCATTTAAAGTGTATAAATCAGTAATTTTTAATGTACTCACAGAATTGTGCAGCCATCACCATAGTCAGTTTTAGATTATTTCATCATTCCAGAAAGAAAAAAACCCCATTCTCCTTTTAGGTCTCACCTTCAGGCCCTATTCCCCATAGTCCTAAACAACCACTAATCTACTTTTTGTCTTTCTATATTTGGCTATTAAGGAGATTTCATTTATATGGATCGATACAATGTTGTGTTGTGATTTGCTTCTTTCACTCAGCATAATATCTCGGGCATTATCCATATAGCATATGTTAGTACATTGTTCCTTTTTATGGCTGAGTAATATTTGTACTACATTTTGTTCATTCATCAGTTGGTGGACATACAGATTTCTGCTTTTGTCTATATTACACAGTACTACTACGAACATTTGTGTGCAAGTATTTATGTGATCATATGTTTTAATTTCTCTAAGAGTAGAACTGCTAGATCTTTAGGTAACTAATTTTTGAGGATCTTCTAGACTATTTTGCAAAACACTACACCATTTTATATTTCTATGAGCAGTGTGTGAAGGTTCCACTTTCTTTTATCTTTTTGTCAACGCTTTTTGATAATCTTATTTTAGCCATCCTAGTGGGTTTGAAGTAGAATCTTATTGTGGTAGTTTTGATTTGCATTTCTCCGATACTGAATCAGGTTTTTTTTGAACATATATATGTTAGGGGAGGGAGACAGAGGATACTTTTAAAACCACAAGTGGACTAGGTTGAAGGGTGTTATGAACCCCACTTAAATTTATTCCCAATAACTACATATTGTGATTCTTACCTCTAGGTTGGGTAAGTTAGCAAGTTCTTAAGGTAGTCTTTTATGTTCAGGTGCCCTGGATGGATCAACACCACCATCTGTTTCTGCTTTCAGGTTACTGTTTCCTAGTGTTAATTTAGGCTGTAAGTATTACAAGCCTTATGAAAGAAAAATGACAGCATTTGACTCTTGATTGAAAGACAGTTTCCTAAAGATGTTGACAGTCATCTTCAAAAGTTATCTTTGTTAAGTAATAAGTTTATAATAATTTATGTTAGAGTTACTGCAGGAAACATGGTTATAAATAAACAAAAGCAAAGTCAAGTTGTTAGTTAGCTTAGGCGTAATGGCCAGAAATATGTTTTTGGATCTGAGCCAAAAAGAATATGTCAAGTTTTTGGTTACTTTGAATTGTCTTTGTCAACAACGTAGTCAAATTCCAAAAGGAAGATGGTACCATTTGAATGAAAGCCGTAATTTTTACCATCCATTGTAACAGATGATGAATGTTATGTATATTTATCATTTATGATACGAAGTAAGGAGGCATCCCAGTTCTCAATAGTGTAGTACAGCCTAAATGAATAATTTTAAGTCTTCTAGTTTAAGTGTTATGATTGCATAGATAATCTACTGTGGAACGAAGGTTTGCTGAGGTGCCTAGTGAATCGTTTTCATTACATCTTCAGATAAAAGCCATGAAGTTTCATCTTTGTGGTTACCTGTAATATATGCTGCTGGTGTTAGCCTAGATTCAAACTAAAATAATTGTAAATGTAGTTAGGTACAACATAATTGTAGCATGCCTATGTGTAGACAGTTACTTGGTTGTTTTTAATGATTCATGGTAGTAGTGGGGGAAATACTGAGAGCATATTTGAACCTCGAGATTTATAAGTAAGTTTTATTCCTCACTTCTAGATAATAAAAGACAAAATACCCAAACAGACATTTTAGTGAAAAAGATACACAAATGGGAAGCAGGCGTCTGAAAAGGTGTTTAACACCATATGTCATTAGGGAATTGCAAATTAATATTAAAATGATATTCCATTACACACCTATTAGAATGGCAAAAATACTGACAAAATACCAAATGCCAGTGAAGATGTGAAACTCATTCATTGCTGGTAAGAATGCAAAATGTTGCAGCCATTTTGATAGACAATTTGGCAGTTTCTTATGAAATGAAACATTCTTACCATGTAATTCAACAATACCATTCCTTAGCATTTACCAAAATAAATTGGAAACTTATCCACACAACAACCTGCACACAGATGTTTATAACAGCTTTATCCTTAATTGTCAAAATTTGAGAGCAACCAAGATGTTTTTTAGTAGGCTAATAAACTGTGGTATACCACACAATGGAATATTACTCAGTTTTGAAAAGCATATCAAGTCATAAAAAGACATGGAGGAAAACTTAATTGTGTATTCCTAACTGAAAGGAGCAAATCTGAAAAGTCTTCTTATGTATGATTCTAGCTATACAAAATTCTGGAAAAGACAAAGCTAGAGATAAGATGTGTGGTTACTAGACGTAAATGGGGAGGGAAGGATGAATAGGTAGAACACAAAGAGTTTTAATGGCAGTAAAACTATTCTGTATAATATACTACAATGGTAGATATATGTCATGATAAATTTATGCAAACTCATAGAATGTATAGCACTAAGAGTGAGCCCTAATATAAATTGGACTTTGGGTGATAATGCTATGTCAGTGTAGATTCACTAATTACAACAATTGAGGTTTATGTGGGTAGGGACTCTACTTTTTCTGAATTTTGTCGTGAACCTAAAACTGCTCTAAAAGTAAACTTATATCAATTTCTTTCTTAAACAAAAACAAACTTTGTTGTACTGAAGATGTGGCTCAAGCAGTAAAGTACCTGCTTTGCAAGGGGAAGCCCTGAATTCAAACCCTAGTCCCACAGAATAAATAAATAAATAAATAAAAAACCATGTAGAGCTAATCAGTTCTTCAAATACTTGAGCCTGCTTTGACTTGTGCTAGCTAATGCCTTCTGAAGGTCACAGCCCAGTGGAAAAGTTCAGAATCTAATGAACTGTTGGGACATCTTGAGAAAGTAGTGCTTTCTTTCATGGATATTGAACCTGGCTCTGTCATACTTTCTCTCTTGAAGTCTTTTAGGACTTAATAATTGGGCCAGGTAATATATATCACATTTATCATATTTTTTAAAAGAATAGGGTAATTTAAGTTTTGTCCTTCATTGATGTCAATCAAGAGAGATTTTTTTGAGACAATAGGTACTAAGGAAAGAAATAAGTAAATAGGAATACTATTTGCTCTCTGAAGAGAGTTTTTAAATTGTTGCATGTTTTATGGTTTATGTAAATACGCTGGTTGAAGACAATCTGAATTTTTAAAGTATCTGAAAATTTATGGTGGATTCCAAACCTGTTGTTTATCATCAAGTAGTAAGTCATTCATTCTTTGATTTCTTTTGTTTTCAGTGATAAATATGGTTGTTCATAGTGGGGTTATCTGCCTGCCAGAAGAATTTGTTTTTAAAAAATTAGTGTTTTTTTTTTTTTACACCACATGGTTCAGAAACTAAAATGAGTTAAAAAAAAAAATCTGACATTGAGCTACCTTGGTTCTAGCCTCTGCTTGTCCTTTTTTCCTACAACTTCTGCAGATGACTAGTTCTGGTAATCTTCCCCTGTGCTTTAAAAAGATATAAATATAAGCAAATATATTATTTTAGGACACTGGCTTTTTCTTAGGAAAAAAGGTGTTGTGTTTGTTATCCATAATTTGTTCCTCATTGAGAGAACATTCTAGTGTTTTCACAAGGTAGAAGTCACAGCACCATTGCCCCTTCCTTACATCAGTCCTTGACTTGCTTAATAACACTGAAATGACTCATCAGCTCTTCCTTAACTTACCCTGAAAGAAAAATGACTACTGGGGGAGGCCAAAAACAAAATATAAGAAACATTTATTAACAGCTTGCTGTGTACTCTGCTAAGTTTATAATAATCCCGTGAATGTATATACTTTTCTCACTCTCATTTTATAGATGAGAAAACAGACTCCAGTGAGGTTAAGAAACGGATAGTTAGCAGAGGTCAGTGATGAGATTCAAAGCTGGCCAGTTTTTTTTTTCTTTAAAATTATAAACCATTTTCAAACATTCAGGAAAATAGAAACTAACTTAATGAAATCTCACATACCTATCACCCAGATGAAGTAGTTAAAGAGTTTATATTTACTTTATCCTGGTTTCTTCTGGAGTATTTGAACACAAGCCTCAGTTTTATTATGCTGCTCCTGGGTACTGATGTATCTCTATAAAGAAAATGAAGGTGTTGTCTGATACAGTGATAATGCAGCTAGTTACACATCTTCAATAGCAGGAAAGATAAAGAATGGTAAGAAAAGATGTTGGCCAGGTAGCCATGCCATGAACTCCAGCCTAAAAAAAACTCAGCAATTTGGCTAAGAGAGAGTGGAGCGATTTCTCAGCTGTTGATTTCTCAGATGAGTGACTTTTCCACCATAACAACTGGCCTACATCAAGCAAGAGACATGATTCAGAAGCATGTGACAGCCAGAGTTCTGATAATGAAACATACTGTACCTGTGGTAGCTCTCAGCCACTTTCCTAACTAGTCTCACTCACATGAATTACTGCCTATATAGAAATTTAAATATTTTAATTGGAAGAGGAAAAATGAAGCTGTGAGTTTTCAATAAATTGTACCCTGTTTTTTGATGTATGAATTATTTTTTGATGGATTCATAACATCAGGCTTACAATTTTTTTTTTTTTTTGAAAAGGTCTTTGACTTGCGTCAGTGTCACCGACAGATGCAGCAGCAGGCAGCTACTGCACAAGCTGCAGCAGCCGCCCAGGCAGCAGCCGTGGCAGGAAACATCCCTGGTCCTGGATCAGTAGGTGGAATAGCTCCAGCTATCAGTAAGTAAGCTTTTGATTTTTTGAAAAGTGAAATAGTGGCATTTTATCTTGATTCACTTAGTTGATTAGTTCTTTTAAACAATAATAGAAATTTAAAGTTTTTTTCTGAGATGTTAACAGTTTTGAATTTGTAAAATTTTTCTTCTGTAGAGGTTGCCCTTTGCCTAGGACAGGATCCTGTTGCATTCTTTTTGTATCAAAAAGGGGGTATGGGATGAAAGGGGCTATGATTATACCATTGTCTCCCCTTTGTGGTTGATGCTCATACTTACGATTCCTACCTGACCAGCCAGGGTGGGTTGTAATCTCTGAGTGCTAGCTTTATTCTGCTAAGGAAAGCTATTTCAGTTTCATACTTTTTTTCACTTTTTTTTTTAAGTATGCTAAGCATGGAGAGAAAACTAAGTGAGGGTGGTATTTTGATAACTTGTAGACTTTTTTTTAATTTTAGGGTAAAATTGAACTGTGTGCCAGGTTTCACACTGATGGGGAATTTTTTACTGCAGAGTTAAACTCCTGACTATAGACTTTTATGATGGAAACACGTGGCACCCATCTTCCACGTCTGAAGGCATAACTAGTGATTCATTCAACCCCTGTTCTTAACCTCTTCAGTGTGGTAAGCAAATCACACTGGCTAAGAAAACTGCAGTGGTCCTGCAGGTTTCTCTACAGTTACATGCAAATTCCTCCCATTAGTTTCATAGTAATACTGATAAATGCAGATTGACTATATGACTATATGTTCTGATTGGAAAATTATAGAAGCATCTCCATTGTGACTTATGTTCAGGAGTTTACAATTTAGACATAGCTAAGACATGTTCATTAGAGAGTAGATTTTTTTTAAAAAATTGGGGCATCTATAACATTTGCTAATTTTGATGTTACAAACATGTTTTCTCCAAAGAATTCAGAATTAGTATAGGTTTCTTATTGCCATCTACTGCCTCCATTATGTATTAGCTTTGTTATATGGCAAAATTGAGAGACAGCCATCGGCTGGGATCTGAGTGGTCTTAGTGGAGCCAGGCATATGCACTGTCTGGTTAGTAGTCATGTCTTACCCTCTATTAGGCTGTTTAGACAGACAGTAAGGTTCTTAGAACCACCCTGTGGCTGTGCCCTACCTCTTACCAACAAGTTGTTTCTTGTCCCTTTGTGTCCTCTTATAAAGAGGAAAATAGGTGGAGATTTGGTGGCTTGTGGTGATTTACTTTATTATTGGTGGTAGCTAGAAGATACATGTGGAATGTAAACTGCTTTAACCAAAAGTTTTCAGTCCCTGTCGATGAAGTTTAGATCTACAGTCACTTCTTGGCATTTTGACAGAGAAGTTGTATGCTGAGGAAAATAAAGAAAACAATGTAGGGAGGTTATGGGAAGAGATCACC